TCCAATTTTCGTTAAAAATCTAAAAAATTTCTCTTTACTATGCACCCAGTTAAACAAAATCACACTTCCTGGTAGCTACTCCTGCTTAAGCCGCACTAACGATATTAAAATATCCTCTGGCACGGCTGATGCATACCGCCAAATAATTAAATATTTATCAGACACAAAGGCAGACTTTCACACCTACCAATTGAGGCAAGAGCGTTCCTTGAGGGTAGTAATGCGAAATTTACATCCCTCTACTCCAGTCGAGGCGATCCAAGAAGAATTGACGGCCCTAGGTTTCAAAGTCCGACAGGTCACCAATGTTATGAAGGACGACAGAGACGTTTCTGGAGCAAATATTAGAAAGATAGCATTACCTCTATTTTTCATCGATTTAGAACCCTCAGCAGGAGTCGAAAAAATATATGAAATCAACAAATTATATTATACAAGTGTCAAGTGGTTGAAAAACCATATACTAAAAGAGAAATCGTCCAGTGCCACAATTGCCAGGCATATGGACACACCAAAACATACTGCCGCCACATCCCAAGATGCGTGAAATGCGGAGAGTCACACAAGACTGGTGAGTGCAAGAAATTGAAAACTACTCCTGCAGTATGTGCTTTATGCTTAGAAGGACATCCTACTAATTACAAGGGCTGCCAGGTGTATAAAAACATCAAAAATAAATTTCGTAAACCCCGGAACACAGAAGAAACTTCTGAACCCAGAAGAGGGCCAGCTAAAATAGTAGACTCTAGAGTATCTTATTCTCAGTTACTAGGGGGTAGAGTCCTGACTGATAAATGTGAGGCCCTGCCGCAACAGGAACCCCAATCCCAACTCCAACACTCTATCCCTCCTAACGTACAAAACTGTCAACAACCTCATCAACATCACATTCCTTATATTCCTCCTCCATCACAAGCCACTGATCTTACCAGTTTGTTGGCATCTTTTCTCACCGAATTCAAATCCCTCGTCACCCCACTGATATCTCTCCTTTAAAAAATCCTTAAATGAATTCCATCAAACCCCTATCCATTCTCCTTTGGAATGCGAATGGTGTTAGAAACCACACTGACGAACTAACAGCTTTATTGCGAGATAAGAACGTCGATGTAGTCCTTATTACAGAAACTCGACTGACCAAAAAACAAATTTTAAATATACCTCAGTACTCAACATATCGTACTGACCATCCGGACGGTAGAGCTCATGCCGGCACTGCAGTCATTGTACACCAATCCCTCTCTCATCACCTACTCCCATTACCTACTCACGATTTCCTACAATCCACTGCTATCATAATCAAAACCTTCTCGTTTCCTAGCATCAGCGTATTGCCCTCCCAATCAATCCACCTCTAATATCCAATTTAGTTCCTTCCTTAATTCCTTAGGACACCATTTCATCCTGGGTGCAGACTTAAACGCCAAGCATCAGTCATGGGGTTCAAGAACTACGAATTCTCGAGGTCGAACACTGCTGTCTGCACTCAACTCCCAACATTTTAATCTCGCTCCCCCGAACTCACCTACCTACTGGCCCACTGATCCTAACCGTAATCCCGATATCCTTGATTTCTTCACCCATTGTGGTTTAGGTTCCCTAAACTATTCCATTGCACGCCTTGATGAACTTTCCTCAGACCACAGTCCATTAATATTCCAAGTATCACTAGTTCTTATTCCTAAACCCTCTCCACTGTCCTTCATCAGAGGACCAGTCAACTGGAAACTCTTCCATCAAATCCTTTCCGATCAAATTGACCTCAGAATAACCCTGAAACCCCCAGAAGACCTTGACAATGCTGTACATTCCTTAACCACCATCATTCAACAAGCAGTCTGGACTGCTTCCTCTCCTAATCATTCCCCTAGAACTCCAAAGAAAAATAAATTACCTCATCACATCCTTGACCTAATCCATACCAAACGTCGTGCCAGATTGTTATGGCAACGTACCAGACATCCCACTGACCGCAGCTCCTATAACTATCTCTGTAAACAACTAAAGCAAGAATTATCCAACTTCAAATCTCAATCCTTTAACTCCTTCCTTACCTCCCTCTCTGCTCACGACAACTCCCTCTGGAATATCACCAAAAAAATCCTAAAAATCGTAATATTTCCCATCCCCTCCGTCGAGGTGATGCCCCTGGGCGGCATCTGATGAAGACAAAGCTGAGGAATTCGCCAAACACCTTTCCAGTACATTTACTCCTCATCCCCAATCCACTCCGACCCACACTACAATAGTAGAAGAATTCCTTTCTTCACCAATTTCACTCTCTTTACCACCAAAAGCAGTTCATCCATCTGAGGTCAAATATCACTTACAAAAACCATCTTCCTGCAAATCTCCTGAATACGACCTTCTAACCCCACAGATCCTTCATCAACTACCACCCAAAGCAATCATATTCCTCACATAAATATACAACTGCATCCTAAGAACTACCCATTTTCCTCTCTTATGGAAACATTCCACCATCGTCCTTTTCTTGAAACCTGGCAAACCTTCCAATAATACATCATCATATAGACCAATTAGCCTACTCCCAATCCTTTCCAAAATTTTTGAAAAAATCCTACTGAAAAGAATCCTACCCATAATAAAATCCCAAAACCTTCCAACCCACCAATTCGGATTTCGCTTCCAACATTCCACTGTCCAACAAGGACTCCGACTTGTTGACAACATATCCTCAGCCCTAGAATGCAAAGAGTATTGTTCGGGGGCATTGCGCAAGCATTTGATCGGGTATGGCACGCCGGACTGCTCTTCAAGCTCAAATTATCTTCAAGCTCTTCAAATAAATTATCAAACCATCTACCCCATTCCTTATATCTTATCCTCCGATCCTACCTCTCCGACCGCTCCTTTCAAGTTCGCTATGGTATAGAATCCTCCAACTGTCATTCAATCAAGGCGGGAGTTCCTCAAGGCAGCGTCTTGGGTCCCGTCCTCTACATTCTGTTTACCGCTGATATTCCTACTCATCTTGAAACACTCCTGGCAACATTCGCTGATGGCACAGCCATCTTATCTTCCAATCCAGATCCTGAAATAGCATCCTTAAACCTACACAGTCACCTCTCTCTTATTGAACACTGGTGTAATAAGTGGCGAATCCAAGTAAATGAATCCAAATATATTACTTTTACCCTTCGACGCAATTCCTGTCCACCTGTCTACTTCAACTCCATATCACTTCCTCTGTCCGACACAGTACGGTATCTTGGCTTTATTCTAGACAAAAGACTAATATGGAACCCACACACCAGACTTAAAAGACAACAACTTAACAGACGATACGGACAACTATATAGACTATTGAATAGAAAATCTCAACTCTCAGTCGACAGCAAACTATTAATCTACAAGACAATCCTGAAACCTATTTGGACCTACGGAATAGAATTGTGGGGGACAGCAAAACTTTCTAACATCAAACGCATTCAATCCTTCCAGTCTAAAATCCTCCGAACAATAGTCGATGCTCCCTTCTATGTATCCAACAAAACCCTCCATAATGACCTTCATATCCCATTTGTTATTGACCTAATCCCAGAAAATTTTTCCAAATTTCACCAGAAACTCACTCATCATCCAAATCCTGTAGCACAATCCCTATCTAGCTCCAGTCATCCCTACAATCCTCCCCGGAGGTTAAAACGGCAGTGGCCCCGAGACCTTTTGTAAATATGTATATATTGGAGTACTGGCAATGGCCAGATTCTCCACTCAAGACATGAGCGTCTGTTGCTATAGTGCCCTCCATCAGTTTCCACTGGTTTCAAATAACAGTGACGCGGCTGAGAGAGAAGCATTGGGATCTCCTGGAGTCCTGCCTTGGCTTCCACGTCGGGGAATAAGGCATGACTCAGAGTACCGTGGGTGAATTTAAATATTGTACATAGGTGTGAATGTGATGGGGAGCGGGGTAGCTCAGTGGGTGAGCACTGACTTCCAGAACTCAGAGTCCTAGGTTCGAATCCGGCTCATGACTAGTAATTTTTCATTAGCCGTGGATCGCCTCTGGAATCGAGAGACCCTCCTGGGGCACATCCAGCTTAAATAAAGTTGGTAACGTTAAATTAAAAAAAAGTAGTTAAGGGGAAAACCTAGTGGTTGAGCGTGATATTGGCCCGTCACCTCCCTACACATTTTTCGGGGGCGGGATGGCCGAATAGGCTAAAGCGTGTGTAACAGCACCGCTAGTTGCCTGGCAACCGGATAACAGAGATTTGAGATGATATAAAAAGTACGAGTTCGCGTCCTGGTGCCGGAGGGGATTTTAAATTTCCCCGCCCTCACCCCCCGGCCCGGGAAAATCCCGTATAGCCTAAAAGGCGAGGTAGGGAAGAACAAAAAAAAAAAAAAAAAAAGGTGTGAATGTGATTTATTTACTTTAATTTCATCTAGCTTTTATCTATTATTTCATTATTTTTTTTGTACACAGGCATACCAATTTACTTATTTTATTTTTTTTTATATTTCTTTTTCTTCATTATTGATATTAATTGTATGTACATATTGTGTGAATGAATCATGTAGCCTTAATATTAATGCCCTTCAATGCGGCAGAATGTATTAATATTCAATAAAAAAAGATAAAAAAAAACATCCTCTGGTTAAATTAAAATGAGCTAAGCAGAAGAGCAAAGTTAAAAAAAAAATGTCCTTTTCTTCCTATTTTTCCTCCCAGTCCTCTCGGTTCTGTACTAGCAACTTCAATTCACATTTCTGTACTTTTTTTTTTTTTTTTTTTTTTTTACAATTTCTAATCTGGTGAAATGTTCATCGTATAATATCCAGTGTATTTTATCATTCAGTTATTTTATTTTCTCTAATGTATCCTCCATACAAATTAAATCCTCATTAGATGTCTTCTGTGGGAGGTGGTTTTCAATGATATCATAATGATATATTATTATGTGACTAATTATTATTATATCCGTTACGGTCATATTTATAATGCGGTCTCTTTATATTTTGTGCGATAGATCTGGATAAGTAGGGCGCAGAAATCTGGACCAGGAACAAGGCAATGTCAAAACATTTTGATTTTCTGTGAAAGATGGCGAAGGAGGACCAATCAAGAGATTTATGGTGTTTCAGACGTGTCCAATTATGTTGCAAGCGAACTAAGAAATCTGCTGACAGAAGTCATCAACGGAAAAAGAAGGAATTTCTCTGAATCTCATAGGCAAGTATCAACAGGAGTGAGATGTTATGTATCATGTGTGACAACCTACTGCTGCTACAAAAACAATAAGAATTACATTTTCTTGAAATTTCTTTTACAATGAACATAAATTGATCATATTTTGTTAGGTTTGGCCAATGTTTTCTTCTTCCCCTTCTTTGTCCTCTTCTTTTTTTCCCAACAAGGAGAGGTAAATTGGACCATTAATTATTTTACACCCACACAGAAAACCCTTAAAGTACGGGTTGTTTTGCGTAGCCATTAGCCGAGGGAAATCGCTTTCTGTCATAATATAGAGACCTGACAGATTTAATATGAACCGACAGCTGCCAACGAAGCACTAGTCACAGTTGAGCGTTATTGAATAAATATTCATTTGAATAATTTATTCAATAAATTTTCAATCACTAATGTTTTAGTGATTGACGATTCCTAAAATAATCTGTAGTTTTAATTTGTTTTTACAATTATTCAGTATTTTTATATGAAAAAACAACAAATGATTCAATAAAAAATCTGGTGCGCGCAGAACACAACTTTCAATTACCGCTCTACTTTGAATAGAAATTATTTTCTGGCAATGTTGGGCTATTATAAAATTGTTTAAGTGCATTTTAAATGGAGCTAAAGCTTAAATATTACAGATAACTAACTATTAAAATAACAAAAACTCTATTTATCATATCGACGGTAGATAACGAAAATCTAGTTACTCTATCTGTATTCGTATACCACATAACTCCAATCTTTGAGCTATGTGTACCTTTCAGATGACAGAATGACTAATTCCAATTTCAACATTTTTCAGTAAAATCATTTTACTGATATTTCTTGTTGGAGAAATTGTATCTATCTTTATAGACAGTGAGTAAGTTCATTCCATAGTAAGTGATTACAGTGTTGAAATATAGAACAGTGAAAAAAGATCTAAATTTATCACTAGAAACATCGCTAAAATTAATAATCGAGAAAGTTGAAATTGGAGTTAGTCATTCTGTCAACTAAAAGGCTCATGTATGATTATGGATGCTTATAAATGATTATGGATTGTAGGTTTATAAGATATCAAACTGTTATTTTCCATTGTAACATTTACTAAAATGAAATTACGAGATTTTCATTGACTGCCATAAATAGGTCAAAATGTGTCACACTAATTGTAAGTGGATAATCTTGAGATATAACAAAGAGAAAATTCATCAAATTATTCACTAATTTAATTTTTAAAAAGGTTACATGATGATTGTTCGGTGTAAACGGCCGCTAGATATCTAATTATTTAAATGTATTATATCTAGAGTTATTAAACTACAGCAAATCTATTCAAGGTTATTAACGTATGCATGAAATATTTTTATATTTCACTTCTTCTTTCACACAAGTACAATTAACTAGTATTTTAAACAATGCCAATTCCTTGAGTCGGTGGATTTTAAATACTTTAAAAAAAATTTAAAGTTTACATTTAGTAAGAAAATTTCATTTGATTTCCTTGGAAACATGTGATTTGCGCTAAATAATTTTAAGTTTTCAGAAATTATTATTTATATTTTTTTCGTCACTCTCCGGTACCTTCTACAACTTCATTTATTTTGTATGATTTTTTCTAAAATTCTCCGTTTTCCAACGATATATTATACGTATATCTTCTGACAATTATTTCCACAGATTTATTTTCGACTTGAATGAGCATTTTTCTTTTTTTCTCCAGTTTCCAACTATCATAATCTTTCAAATTTCATATTTAGCCATTTTTTTATAGTTACTGTCAATAAAAGAGAGTTAATTTTTTTAAAATTAATCATATTAAAGATATTATAGTCAAAGACCTATATGAACATTGGGCATTTGAGCCCTGTAAAAAGACATCAATGGGAATAAGATCTGAATGGTATTAAAGACCACTTAATTATACAATGATATATCGAGTTGATTCAAAATCGTTGAAGCCATTTTTGAGAAAATTGTAAAAATATGTTTCACCGTTGATATCAAGTGGCACTTCCGGTTAGCCGATTTTAAGGGAAAAGTTGCTGAAACATTTAAGTCATATACCTATCTTATATACGTAATCAGTTTTGTACGACTTTTCGTTTTTGAGCTAGACTGTTCACACACACTCAGACCCTTTATATTTATGTCCAAAGCTAGTAAATATTATAGAGGAAGGAGATGGTCCGGGGTAGCGGTCGTAAATAGTTCAGCTAGGAGTTTCACTTAGAACTGCGAACGATAAAAGCGATTAGCAGTTCTAAGTGAAACTCCTAGATGAACACACCTCCCTGATGAAGACCTGAAAAGTCGGGTCGAAACGTTGGATTTTAATAAAATAGTTTTGTCATTATTTAGCCTATTTATGACCGCCACCCCGGAACATCTCCTTATTATTTAAATTTAAACATTAAATTCATATTAAATGTTGTTCACAGTGATTTCCTTGAGCATTAAGGCATGCTCGTCATCTTTTTTCAACACCAGCAGTGACAGGCATTGGATATGTGTTATTGTTTCACACTGCTCAAGGAAATTACTTTGAACAACATTTAATATGAATTTAATGTTTACGTTTAATTAGTAAAGCAGTTGGAACAAACAAATAAGTTTTATTTACTTAATATAACGTAAATAATTTATAACAATGATAATATTTAGTTGTGAATATCTCCTAAAGGAAGCGTATGTTAATTTTGTTTGAACATTGTAGCAAATGTTCAAACAAAATTAGAAGACAAGTCTGAATTCATTGTTAGTATTATTAATTTATTTAATGCAGCATTCAAACGCTTTCTCAGAATTACCGGGTAAGTTATTCTGTTTTTCCACTTGTTATTTAATTTAATCTTCTTTCTAACATGTGGAACGCTTAGCTTAATATCTATGAGAGTAATCGGTCAGCTGAGGTCAGCGAGAGACAAATTAATTATTCGTTTATTGATTTTTTACTTTCACTTACCTGCATATGAAAAATATATTAAGAGAAAGTATAGTAGTCGTGAAAATTTACGAATCCAAGTTTTGAAGGGATATACACATTTTAAGGCCTCCTGAGTCCAAATAACCAAGTTTCGCAAAATGATCTGTATGTGTATAACCGTATAGCTCTAGAAATTGCATATTTAAGATATGGCTAGGATGTTACAGCAACATTAATATTTTGGCTGTGCACCATAGCTCTATCTCGTATATCCTAAAGGTTTTTAGTGTAAACGTATTATGTAATTATTTTTTCTACGTAGTAAAATGCTTCTTGCCAATTTTTCACATTCAGAGTAGGTCAGTATCCTAATTTGTGTAAATTTGAATACGTGTTAACCGAGTCGCGCAATTTCGAGGGGCGATTATATTATGTTTTACCATCTCAATCGCAGAATTAATCTTAATAAAAGAAGCTGAAATATGCTGTAATCAAATGAAATTTGGTTTTCTATTGTGCGATGTTGTTTCATAATCCTGAGTTATGTGATGAATGGATTTTTCCTTGCGCAAACTCTACACCTGTTTTGTTCCATAATCCTGTATAAAATCGGGTCGCCTATAAAACCTTGTTTGCTGATAGGTACCATAGCGAAGGTTAGGTTTCTTATCTTGGTATACTAATCGGTATTTATCTTATTGTATAATTTCGAGGGATGAAATGGAAGGCTTCTACATAGCTAATAAAGAAAAATTTTATTGTGTGTTTTTTTAGACTAGTTTGGATATCTCTCTAATACGTACAAGAACAGTCCATGCCTTATTTTCCATGTATATGTCATGAAGTAATGGCTTAAGTATAAAGTAAGATGTCAATTCATTACTTTCTTTTCTTTTTTTGGGAGAATTATATAATTATAAAATAAAATATATCATCAGGTTTTCATCTTTGTCAGCATAAACAGAGTTGCCAGAACTATTGTTTTTTTTTTTTCATTTATTAAAGATCTTTTTATTGAGAATAATACATTTTGTCACACTTAACGGCACTGATTGCCAGAGCTAGATGAGGTGCAACAACTATTATTAACATTCAAAACATTACATTCATGTTTCTTATCACTATGTCGAACGTTCATATTTGTTACTATTATAGAAGATATTTTACAAACGACCAGCTTTCACAAACTATACAATATTCAATAATATATTATTCCTTAAAAAATCCTACAGCTTTTTTCATCAATCTGTGGAATCAGCTGTTGGAATTTCAACTGTGCCAAACTTCAATTCGGAAAATATATTTACATCTTATTTTACGAGCCATATGTTTCTTTTTTTGAAGAAATAAATACCATGTTTGGTCAGAGCTGGGTTTAAAAAGAATTTTTCTATTTAAAAAAATATCTTTATTTGAGAATTATTCATTTTATTTATAGGAAATAAAAAAAAGGTTTTTACAGTAATTAATTAATGAAATTATTATTTTTAAATTCACAATTGACTTGGAACTACCTGGAATAGGCCTATGTTTACGATATATATAGTTGTTTTGCCCTTAGTATATGGGGAAATGGACTTTGAATTACCTGGAATAGACCTATGGTTACAAGAAAATATGTGTAGTTAAGTCCTAATTCGCAATGCGATGGCCATTACTGGTTAAGTGCCCTGGATATGAAGTCGTCAATGAGATCCTTCGCCGCTTCGGGCCTGTCAGTGGGAACCATGTGGCCCGCTGCGTGGACAAGGGCGAACTCCAAGTGCCCGCACTTGTGCCGGTACCCCGCGAACTTACCGTCCACCATCCACGATCTGTGCGGGCAAGGTCCGGAAAGGGACTCCACCACCTGCCTGGTGAAGCCGTACCAGACGATGATGTCCATGTGTCCGGAGTAGAGCAGGATTGGGTACTGTCCCAGGAGAGGGTTCAAGAATTCCAGCCCAGATTTCATGAAGTCTGGAATCAGTCGACGGTACACTGGTAGGATGCCTGCAAATAAAAATAATTCATGTTAAATTAATAATGATTAATTCTTTTAAAAATTGTATGTATGTATATATATATATATATATATATAAGTATATATATAAGTATATATATGTATATATATATATATATATATAACTTATATATATATATAAGTTATGGTTAGATGTAAGTTGATATATTATTTAATCCTATTCAACAGTTGTAAACAAACCGTAATGCTATATATATAGCATTACGGTTTGTTTACAACTAAGAGAATAAAGTCAGTCTTATTTGAGCAACCACGTGTTTTATTTCGGACCTTTTCTTTCTTTTTTTTATCTTTTCTTGTTCGAACAGACGCAAGTGGTGCCGAAACCCGGGAGGTTTAAATTTAATTGTCTAGTTAGTTTTTTTTTTTCACGTCGTGAAGATAATTAAAAGAAAGGATGCCGAACGGAGTAGGTCAAGCGCCAGTACCGCCTACACCACAGGTAGCACAGCCGACTGCGCCACCGGCGGCACCGTTGGCTCCACCGCCAGCGTTTCCTCCGTTATCAGAGGCATTAGCGAGGGATTTTCCGCCGCTACCTACTGAAACATGATGAAGGTGAGAACGGCGACATCGCAGGACCTGAGGAGAGCGATATCGGATTTGGAAAGATTCGATGGAGGAGTAGGTGAGTTAAATCACTTTCTAAAGGGAGGCGATCGGGTGATAGCGCAGATATTGGCTAAGGAAGGGGAGAACTTAATAGACCCACTGGATGCCAACGCATTGAGGGCAGCGTTGGTGTGCCGGGTTAAGCGGAGCGTGTTGAATACGATTCAGGCGGATGAGGATACCCCAAGGAACACCGTGAAGGATAGGCTGAAGAAGGCATTTGGAGGAGGCCGCTGGGCTCCGGAAGAGGACATCTTGCAGATGTTTCGGGAGAGGAAACAGCCGTATCAGACCAACGGACAATATGCCGCAAACCTGTTGGCACGTTTTAATAATGTAACTGAGAAGACGAGGGAGGTAGCTGATGCGGTGGAAACAGGAGCAAGGATGGCGTTCTTGTCAACCATCCTTAAAGTCCAGCTGGGTAGAGACACGGGAAAGAGGGATGGACTACCTAGGGACAAGAGTTTTTTGGAGTGTGCCCAAGAGATGATTGATGCAAGTGCGCGGGAGGAAGAAGCAGCCCGGGGAGAGGAGGATGAGAACGGGTGGAACCGAGTATCGTACAGGAGAGCAGAAACCGGAAGGTTTAAAACGAGACAGGAAGGGTGGAAAAAAAGAATAGGAGAAGTTAGTGCAAGAGAAAGAACGGCAATGAGGGAGAAAAAGCCAGGAAAGGAGAGAAGGAAATGGACAAAGGAGGACAGGAGATGCCACGGGTGCGGAAAGATAGTTCACCTAGTGGCGAATTGCCCGCGAACTCGATGTTTCGAATGCGGAACTGAGGGGCACATTGCCAGACAATGCCCGTATTTGAGTAGACGGGGAGAAGTGGGCCGAGATGAGCCGATGGAAGTGAACGCCCAGAGACTGTGGAGGAAGAGAGGAGCGGCATCGGAGTCGGACGATTCGTCGGAAACATCTGGAACCGAGGAGGAGGAGCCGGTGGTAAGAGGAGCTCGAGGAGGCAGAATTAGCAGAAAGAGTGGAGAAGGGGGAGCCGTCGCGGACAGGAGAGGAAGATCAGACGAATGAGGAGAGGAGCAGAGGGGAGGCAGCCACGCGGTAGTAAATAATATTGGAGGTGAGTGCGTTGGTTTGCCAATTATAAGTGTTGTGGGGAAGGGAAAGTGTCTGGTGGATACGGGAAGTTCTAATACAATAGTATCTAGACAGATGTTGGAGGAGTTGTGTAAAGGAGAGAGGATACCGAGAATAAAAAAAATGTACGTGTAGGTTGATTACTTTGGGTGGTCCATGTAGGATAGAAGGGGAAGTAGAGTTAGATTTAGACAAATGGGTAACAGGAAGTGGGAAGTTGAGGGTTCATGTAGTAGAGAATATGCCGAGGGAATACGGGGTTATAATAGGATGTGACCTATTGAGTAGAGTGAGACCAAGAATAGATTACAGGGGAACGGGTTGGAGGGTGCGAATGGGAGGGAAGAGGTACCGGTGTAAGAAAGGGAGAGTGGGAGGAAAAGGGAACATTGGGGCAATAGAACAAGCGGAACATTGGGTACAAAGGATAAAGAGGGAATACGCGGATATTTTTTTTAAAGAAGGGGAGGTGTTGAGCGCAACGGGGAGGACGGCACATGAGATTCCGTTAAAACAGGAAAAGGTGACGTACGTGAAGGAGCGACGTTACCCACGGGCTTTACGTCGCCATATCAAGGAGGAGCTAGAAAGTTTAAAGAAGCAGGGCATCATCGTGGACAGCACGTCACCATACAATAGTCCCCTGTGGGCGGTGAAGAAAAAGACGTCGTCGGGAGAGCAGAAGTACAGAGTGGTGGTAGACTTCAGAAAGCTTAATGACAACACCCTTGACGAGAAGTATCCGCTTCCGCGATTTGAGGATATTATTGACAGGCTTAGTGGGGCAACCATATTTAGTACTTTGGATTTAAAGGCGGGCTACCACCAAATTCGTATGAACCCCAGGGACTAATGGGGACTAATTAAATCAAATCCTATAGATGAAACTATTCAAAGACCAATAAAATTACAAAAAGTCTATTTATTATATCGACGGTACACATTAAAAATTTAGTTACTCCATCTGCTTTTATAAACCACACAAATTCAGTCTCTGAGCCTTTCAGTTGACAGAATGTCTAACTCTAATTTCAACATTTTTGAGTAATGTCATTTTAGTGATGTTGCTAGTTGGAAAAGTTATATGTATAAAGACAGTAAGTTGATTCCAAAGTAGGTGATTGCAGTGTTGAAATATAGCACTGTGAATAAATTTTGCCTCAAGAAACATCACTAAAATTAATAATAAAGAATGTTGAAATTGGAGTTAGTCATTTTGTGAATCGAAAGGCTCATATATGCCTCGAGAGATTTGAAAGAACATCTGAATATTTAACCTGTAAATGATTATGGATTGTAGGACTATTAGTTATTAAACTGTTATTTTCCATTGTAAAGTTTACTAAATTAAATTACGATACGTCCATATCTAGATTTATTAAACTATAGAAAATGTATTTAAGGTTATAAACATATCCATGAAATATTTATATATTTCACTTCTTCTTACACACAGTACAATGAAATAGTATTTTAAATAATGGCATTGGCTGGATTCGATAGATTTTAAATACTTTTTTTCAAAGTTGGAAAAAAATTTAAAAGTTTACATTTACTAAGAAAATTGGATTTAATTTCTTTGGAAACATGTGATTTACGCTAAATAATGTTAATTTTCTGAAGTTATTATTTACATTTTTTTTTTTTGTCATTCTCCGTTATCTTTTACAACTTTATTTATTTGATATTATTTTATTCTGAAATTCTCCACTTTCCAATGATATATTATGCGTGTACCTTCTGACTATTATTTCCGAAGATTCGTTTTCGACCTGAATAAGCATTTTTATTTTTTTTCTCTTTTATTCAATTATCAAATTCTTTCAAAATTTATATTTAGCCATTGTTTATAGTTACTATCAAATTTTCAAAATAAACCATATTGAAGGTAATTTAAAGGAAGACGTATTTAAATATATATATATATATATATATATATAAGAAACTGATGTAAAATATTTTATTTTGATTACATACATATTTACTTATTATAAAATTCAATATACACCCCTCCTCTACCACTACGACGCTCCATGCGAATCTCCCATTATCTGAAATTGTGCTGGAAACAGTTAATTTTTATTATATTCGGATTAAATTGTAATATAACTATTTTTTTTTTAAACTTTTATTATGATATTTGCAACTGTATTAGTATGAATACATCAAGTAAATGTGTACAGAAGAATATAATAACATGAAACACGCTTGGTATAACTATTTAAACTGGAAATTTTGAAAATATTACTGTTTCATTAGGTAGAGAATTTTATGTTGTTTTCATTGATATATGGTTGTATAGGGGTATTTTTAGAGAGATTTTTGCTACAAGCAATTTTCGATAATTTTATCACAACTTTGAAAATTTATGTTTAAGAATTATTTTATGTATGACGAGAATTATTGTGCTAAATGTTAAGATACCAGCAGATTCTAAATTAAATTTATGACTGATGAATACATTTTGAAAGCTCTGGATCAATAAATATTGTTTTTGCATAGAAAATCCAAAGAGGTATTTTGAGCTCAAAATGTCTTTCTAACTTCAAATATTTTAAAAGTTTAAATGCCTGTAATTCTGAAAATATTTGTTAGAATTGGGCAAGCTTTGATATGTTTGCATATTTATGTGTATAATTATTAATTACAATTTTCTATTAAAATTTGAGAGGGGTGGGTGTTGACCCCTGGATGATTTAGTATGGAATGACAATTGCATATTTAGGAAATACGCAAGTGACATTCTTGCGAGCATAAATTTAATTTATTATATTTTATACATATATTTATTATTGTGTTAAAATTAAAATAAATAAAACAGCGACTGCGTTGAGGCGGTGTTGAGAAATTAAGTTTTATAAACTGACTTCTGAATTCACAGAATTAAATTTTGAGGAGTTACATGATGAGAAAATAAAACACATTTAGATTCAAATTTATTCTAAACATTACAATTTTTACGTGAGAAAGAATCGTTTTTCTTACATAAATGTTAATAGATGCTGTTATATGAAGTTGTTTTAGCGGTTATGCATTTTCTTGACGACAAGAAATAAAAACATTTACTTTCGCAGATAATAATTTATTTTGGTGCTATTGTCTGATAAGAGGATATTGCAGTGTTGCGAATATACCTCGAATAACCTTCGATACGTACGGAAATGTTCACAAAATAAGATTATGCATTTCATACAATAAATTACAAAGCAATTAAGCCATCTAATAAATTAATAGACATTAATTACTTTACATTATTAATTCAATGGAGCTTTTTTCGAAGAATCTTTTTCCCTCTCTGATTCAAAATGAAAGTACCGTATTCCTCAACTCTTTCTACAAAAAATAAATAATCCGACAGGTGAATGTTGTTTTGTTTTCTTCCGTGTAACGTATGAGGCAAATCTCATTGCAATGCTTTGTTTTTTATTCTCAATGTCCTATACTGCATTATAGGCTACAATTAACGTTCATAATGGGGTCATGCTACTGGAGTCATGCTTTTCCCTCCACAGTTGGAGGAACAAGTCTGGTTTGGAGTTCTCTCGCCAGATTGTAAATATTGTATATGTGTTCTTTTCATTAATTTATTTTTAGGTTATTTTATTCTTATTTATTGTATATGTATTATTTGTCAGTATAATTTATTTTATTTATTGTACATAGAGTGTGAATGTGATCTGTGAACACTTTTATAAATGTTCTTGAGACAGATTGTAATATTTTTCAATAAATAAGCTAAAAAATGTCCATATCTTGTAGATACCAAACACGGTAATGATATTTATAGACTAATATCATAAGTGTTAAATATTTCAGCAAACGATTGTAGACTATAAGAAGTTTTTTTATTATACATTTAGAGTGAAAACTTAAAAAAAAAATCTAGTGCACGCAACACACAACTTTCACTACCGCTCTCTTTAGAATAGAAATTATTTGCTGGCATTTTTGTGCAATTATAAAATTTTTGAAGTGCATTTTAAACGGAGCTAAATATTAAATCTTAGAGATAACAAATCATTAAGACCAATAAAATTACAAAAAGTTTATTTATTATATCGACGGTAGACATTAAAAATCTAGTTACTCCATCTGCTTTTATAAACCACACAACTTCAGTCTCTGAGTCTTTCAGTTGACAGAATGTCTAACTCTAATTTCAACATTTTTGAGTAATATCATTTTAGTGATGTTGCTAGTTGGAAAAGTTATATGTATAAAGACAGTAAGTTGATTCCAAAGTAGGTGATTGCAGTGTTGAAATATAGCACTGTGAATAAATTTTGCCTCAAGAAACGTCACTAAAATTAATAATAAAGAATGTTGAAATTGGAGTTAGTCATTTTGTGAATCGAAAGGTTCATATATGCCTCGAGAGATTTGAAAGAACATCTGAATATTTAACCTGCAAATGATTATGGATTGTAGGACTATTAGTTATTAAACTGTTATTTTCCATTGTAAAGTTTACTAAATTAAATTACGAGACATCCATATCTAGATTTATTAAACTATAGAAAATGTATTTAAGGTTATAAACATATCCATGAAATATTTTTATATTTCACTTCTTCTTACACACAGTACAATGAAATAGTATTTTAAATAATGGCATTGGCTGGATTCGGTAGATTTTAAATACTTTTTTCAAAGTTGGAAAAAAATTTAAAAGTTTACATTTACTAAGAAAATTGCATTTAATTTCTTTGGAAACATGTGATTTACGCTAAATAATGTCAATTTTCTGAAATTATTATTTACATTTTTTTTTTTGTCATTCTCCGTTATCTTTTACAACTTTATTTATTTGATATTGTTTTATTCTGAAATTCTCCGCTTTCCAATGATATATTATGCGTATACCTTCTGACTATTATTTCCGGAGATTCGTTTTCGACCTGAATAAGCATTTTTATTTATTTTTCTCCTTTATTCAATTATCAAATTCTTTCAAAAGTTATATTTAGCCATTTTTTATAGTTACTATCAAATTTTCAAAATAAACCATATTGAAGGTAATTTAAAGGAAGACGTATTTAAACATTGGGTATTTAAGCTCTGTAAAGTGACATCATTAGGGATAAGACCTAGATGGTATTAAGCGCCACTTAATTATACAATGATACACCGGGTTTAATACAAATCGTAAGAGCTGTTTTTGAGAAGATTGTAAAAATGTGTTTCACCGTTGATATCAAGTAGCATTTCCGGTTAGCCGATTTTAAGGAAATAGTTGCATAAACCTTTCTTAAATACGTAATATCAATTTCTTACGACTTTTCGTTTTTGAGCGTGACACATACACAGAAACCATTTTGCGGTACCATACACGAAAGCTTCGTAGTATGGGTAGTTATCCTTGCTTGTATTGTTAGCTGAGGGAAAGCGTGCCCTGTGATGATATAGAGTCCGGTTTCCCTCAGTAGTTTGGCCCTTATTGTCTTATCAAAAGCGGTACAAGTTGTGACATGTTCAGCAGTTTCAGGAACACCAAAACAGGGACCTAGGGGATTAATATCCTTTGCAAAGTCATGAAACTTGGCGCGAGACCCTCTATGCCATGTGAGAATTTTTTTTTTTTGGTCCTTCCCTTCCTCGTCGTTAAGGCTGTACGGGATTTTCCGGGCCAGGGGGTGTGGGCGGGGATTTAAAAGACTCCCCCGGCACCGGGACTCGTGGCTATTTTTATATCTTTGATTCATATATCTGGTTGTCGGGCAACGGCGGTGCAGTACACACGCTTTAGCCCATTCGGCCACCCCGCCCACACCCTGCCATGTGAGGAATTGTGAAACCTAATAATCAGGGAGAACCCATTTCGCTTCTAACCTAAGTAAAGTAAGTAAAGTATTTTCTTTGAAAACTCCTCTCCCAGTAGTAATTATTATATTTTATTATTGTTTTTTTCTCACTTTTGTCTTCTTGTGTGGCGGCCAATGGCAACACATTTTGAGGTTGTGACGGAAATGGTATATCCATACCGCCAGTTGATCATTTGTGAAATAATGTTAGTATCTTAACTAAACCTATCAATATAAAAAAAAATCTAAGAATTGTATTTAACTTAATAATTACGTAGTTAAGTGTTTATTTATATTTAGTATACTAACCCGAATATTCAGCATCTCCAACATGAAGTGATGTTCTGGCCTCCGCAGATTGCACGTATTCCACGAAATCGGCAGAGAGGGTGTTCTCATGTGGGTGAAGGATGTTGTAAATGTTGGTGAAGTTTGAATTAGTCATTAAGAGATGCAGGTTCATTGACATGAGCTGAGAAACAAGAAAAGAAATAAATAAACAAGATTTATTAGAAGTAATAAAATAATAAACATGTTGATAAATTATGGATTACCCCATGTGCTTGCACAAAGTTTTCTTGTTTTAGTAGGTATTCTGTTGCCTTTTCCATCCTTAGCATGGTTCTTCTAGTAGGAGTGTCACATAGGCCTAATGGATAGCAGAACTGGGAGAACTGTAAGTTTTCGGGTGGATTTATGAATGGGTTACCAATGGCAAATCCTAGAAAAATAAAAATTTAAATATTAATTATTATCTGTTATGTCTTACCTAATTTCCAACATTATCTATCAATGCTTGCTACAAAAGCTCATCGTTAAGTATATTTAATAAATAATATAAATAAATATATATCTTCAGTTAATGTATAACAAATCACTAACAAGGGGAGGCTACAATCAGTGGGTCACCGATTTAAACAATTTTTTTTTTTGGTGATAATACATTGAAAAATATTGGGCACATGTCCCGGCGTTCGTTCCAATGGGCGAACAAAAATTATTTAATTTTCAATCATTGCATCCCAAACTCTTCAATCGCACATCACAAGCCTTCAAAAATGGTGTCAAAACTGGAGGATTAAAATAAATTCTAATAAATCCCATCAAATCACCTTTACCCTTCGACGTAATCCTATGACCTCATGTCCCAAAGTATCCTTTAATAATACCCCACTTATCCCTGTTGAACAAATCCGATACCTTGGACTTCACTTGGACAAACGTCTAACTTGGAATCCTCATACCAGACTGAAACGACAAGAAACCGCTCGAAGTTTCCGACTACTCCAACACTTACTAGACAAACGCTCTAAGCTTCCAGTTAATTACAAAAGACTTATATATATGACTACAATAAGACCTATTTGGACTTACGGAGTTGAGCTTAGGGGCTCCACTAAGCCATCGAATTCCTCTCGTATCCAATCCTTACAATCCAAAATCCTTCGGAAAATCCTCAATGCTCCTTACTTTGTCACCAATAAAATAATCCATAATGACCTTAATGTTCCTTATGTTTCCGATTTAGCCCAATCCAGATACCAATCCTTCCATAATAAACTTCAGAACCATCCGAATCCTCTCGTCTCTAACCTTGCCTCTTCTATTCCTGATAACCCTCCGAGGCGTCTGAAAAGAAGATGACCTCGAGATCTCTTATTGTAAATATTTTGTTTTTAGAGTGCTACCAGTGGGTAGTTTCTCAACAAGTCATTTCATGTTATTATTTTCTGTTATCAAATTTACTTAATGTATTTAATTTTTTAATATAGTTGTCAATATCATGAATAAATAAAAAAAAAAAATTTTTCAATCAAAATTTCAGAATACACTGAAAACGATTTCAACTTCCTTTTTTATAACGACAATTTATTTGTCCTATATTAGTGGAGGCGTTTTTTTGGTTTTTGTAATTTGTGGTATATCATAACTCATTTAATACAGAAGTCAATATTTTCCCATTGGAAATATCTATAAAGTTAATGGGTGATAAATATTCAGGAAGCAGTCATTATAAAGGTTTTATTGGGGTCGATATTTCAACCCGAACATGTGGGTTATCATCAGGGATAAACATTTTTTTAATACAATCAGAGATATAATATTATACGACGGATAATGGTTAATAATAAAAAAAAATAGTGATTGATGATAAGTGAAATAGAGCAATGAAATATGTAAGTTCAGTGCTCGAAACACGGTTAGTAAGAGAAAATATTACATTTTTTTTTTTTACAAATTGATTATATACATTATTTTTAGTTTTTATAAATTTTTACATATTTCATTTGTATCATTCATTATTTTATTTAATATTAACCATTATCTGTCGCATATTTTATCTCTAATTGCATTAAAGTGTCCTTGATACAGATTGTAATATTTTTCAATAAATAAGTTATAAAAAAAAAAAGTGCAACATAAGCCCTGATGATGTCTCACATGTTTAAGTTGAAACGTCGGCACCAATAAAAACTTTATAATGACTGCATCCTGAATATTCACCACCAATGCATGATATGTAGAACAGTCGACTAACTTCCTTCAATAATTCACTAAAATTAACAATAAATAATGTTGAAATTGGAGTTAGTCGTTCTGTGAACTGAAAGGCTCTTATAATAATCTAAAAGTCCGGGCAAATCAAAGGCAAAAATAAATAACATAAATTTTGATTGAAATTATGTACTTTTTTACTCGGTTCCTATCAGTGGAACGAATGCCGGAACATGTGTCCAAAATTTTTCGATATAGTGTCACCGAAAATAATTTGGTTTAAATCGGTGACCCACTGAATAGCCTCCTCTTGTAAGTCCATTTTTAATGGAGCTGACCTTTCAAGAATGTTTTTGTGGATTTCAATGTTATTTATCGATGTTAAAACACACTGCGTTCCTTAAATGATCTATCTAAAATGACACAAACTCTTATATGTATATCTCAAATGTAGTAAAAAAAAAAAAAAAAATCGCATAATTTTCTGGAGTGATTTAAGGTTAAGTAATCTTACTTAATGACTTTTCGCAATAAACCGACATTACTGCGTGTGTAATATCGATCGAACCCTAGAAATTATAAATATATTTATGAAAAAAATATAGTTTCCGGAAATATCTATAAAAAAAAATTCATCATTTAACAGGACATGGAATAATGATTTAAATAATTATTTTGAAAATAAAGATATAGGTTGAAAGAGAAGTTATTTAATGAAAATTTATCTTTTAAGCCATTCTCAAAAAAAATATATAGTAGTAACATTTAAATTATATACTTTATCCAACAATAATTATTAATTATGTAAATTGTAATTTTAAAAATACGATTGCAGGATTTTATGGAAAATATTACACCACTAATTGTTTGAAGATGTCATGACAAATTTCTGTATCGAAAAAGAGGAAGTCGTAACTGTACTAATTATTTTTTTCTCCTGCCATTTGTCCATTAATAGTCATTTATATTTTTCACATTGAGTTTACAGAGTATATTTTTACTTAATATAATTTTACTTATTTATTTATTTTTCGATTCTTTTGAAATGTTATATAGTTTATAGTTAAAAAAAAAGAAAGAAATAGTAGCAGGATTAGAGGAAAAATTATCAATCCTTTAAGAATATGTAGAAAATTTTGAACTTAGCTTTCTTGTCTCAAGCATGTAAAAATGATTTACCTATATGCTTGAAGTTAAAAAAATAAAATCAATCTATTCTTTATCATTTGTTCTGCAATGTATTGCGATTTTATGCCTAAATTTAATATTTGTAATTTTATGTCTAAATCTAAAAATTGTTAACGCACCTTGGTACATTTCAAACACTACTATACATAACGACTTAAACACCCCAACAGTAAAATCCTACATCCATGACAAATACACTACATTTCATTCTTCAACCCAAAATCACTCCAATCCTCTGGTTCTTTCCTGCTCCCTGTTACCTGAGCAACGAAGATTAAGAAGAAAATGGCCAAGAGACCTACTACATCAATAAAAAAAAATCAAGCAGTTACACCAAGACAATAAAAATACAACAAATTTTCTAGATGCGCAGCTGCGCATGTGCAAATTGCATAAAATAAAATATAAATAAAAAAAAAATCTAAAAATTTCAATATCATTAAAGAATTATTAATTAATTGTCTTTAAGAAATCGTATTGTATAATTAAACATAAAATAATTATAATATTAAGAGAGAATTCATACCTTTTAGATTAATTTCGTTCTTCATTTCTTGGTTTCGCAGATGAATCTCAAGTGCCAAAGAGGGAATGTGCTTTCCTGAAAAGTAAAAGAGAATTTTAAATAATTATTTATAAATTATTAATTATTCTTATTATCTTCATTGATCAGTATAATTCAATTATTATTCGAGATTATTTCTTCTTTAAACGACAAATATGTATAATAATTAATCATTTAAATTTGTATTTTTAATTGTCTGAAACCTGTTCACCTTAATGACTAGAATCCGTTAAAATCATAATTATGTAAGCGTAACACTTATTATTGTTTAAAGAGTTATAACATTTAGATAATATTTTTATTTTTGGTTGCGAAACGTATAATAAAGTGTGTGAGACCGTGGTTACATTAGATCCGTCACAACCTTTACGACGGCTCTACTGCTTAGCTCAAAAACATAACATATAAATCGCTTTAATTCATCTTTTAATGCTTAGCAGTCTGTATTTGAGTCATTTTTTTATATATATTATTTTGATTAAATTAAAGACACTTTTTGTTTAGAATAATTTACATATAGAATTTTCTAGGTTCTTTTGGTTAAAACATGAAGACTTTATTATTAATATTTTTTTAATCTTGCAGATTGCAGGAAATTTAATGTTATTTTAAGTACCTGCATATGACTCTCCAGTGATGAAAAAAGGTCTCGACCTGAGCTCTTGAAATATTCTGAAAAATTGTTGAAGAGCTGTATGGAGGTCTTTAGCTACATCCTTCTGGTTTGTCCTGTAGCCATCTTCATCATCGGTAAAGCTAAAACCTGAAAAAAAATCCAATGAGTAGTTGTTTATATTTTATCATAATTAAAAAATCATTCCTCCATTTTATCAGTATAAAAATATACAGATTGAATACAATTTAATCTCAAAGTAACTTTACCACGAAGCATAGTGCCCGGTCAAATTAGAGATGTTACCTTGCAAAAGGTCGGGTAATTCAAATTTTCCTTTTATATTGTTAGGTATTTAGTGAATATAAAAAATCCAAGCTTTCTCCCTTGAGAACCTTGCTGGTTCACTGCAGTTCCCCAAAAACCATTGAAATTTCCAACTTTATTTGGTTTCTGCTAAACATCTCCTTTTTAGAGCAACAAGATAAAAAATGGTTATATTCAATTTTAACCAACTTAAAATGACCTAAAATTTTTTTCTAAACCCAACAGAAAGCGAACTATCGAGCTTTCAAAATTTACCCATTTCGATTTCTTCACAATTCTGCTGTTTCTGTTTTGGAAGGAAGCATTCTGTACCTCCATTTTAAAACTGGTCCAGGGAATTAGGTTTTTCTTGAAGATAATGAGCCATTGACTGGAACGGTTGGCGGTAGGTATTTTGAAGAGTTTGTTACACGGTGGGCCAGACAATCATATCGTGCATCCTTCCCCAACATCCCGAACAGCTAACTGTTGACCATAAATACGTAAACCAGTTTGTGTTTGCGAATGTCCAGTTTACCACCAATGAATGGTGCCTTGATAATGTTGTCTAGCTATATTTTTTAGTTCTTTCCTTCGTTTATAATTAGTTCCATATCTGCAGTTTATTCAATTAAGTCTAGAAATATATTCTTTTACAAAAGGCGTTAAAAAATTATTGTAAAATAATTCAAGGATTTGCTAACATATCTGTATCTTTTGCGCGCCTGTATCATTCTTTCAAAATGGTATCCTATGGCATTCCTATTCTTCTTATTGCCTTCTTTAAGACAAAATTAAATATTCAGCAAGCTGGATAAGCGACTAATATTTTTTTCAAAATCCATTTCTTGATATGAATCACTGATTTATTTTTATTCATTGTTTCATTATATTGGATAGTGTGTTGAAATTGATATAAAAAAAAAAAATTGAACACCTAGAATTTTTCATTTCTTGTAAATTATAAATGATAATTTTTAAGCAAATGATTTTTCTCTTAATAATATATTATTTATTTTCCAAAGTATCATTATTTTACTTTTAAAAAAAGTTTGGCTAGTGATCAAATTTAAAGATCAAGGTGTTCTTCATCCCGTTTTTTTTTTATTTGTTCAAATCATTTAATCACGATTTTAATTCAAAAGAGTATGCTTGTGTTTAAGTTGTTGTTTTGATTAGTTTAGTTATTTTTGTTTAAATAAATTTACTTTTAGTATTATTATTTTCCTGTTTAATTTATTTTTATTTATTGTAAATAGAGTGTGGATGTGCTCTCTGAACACTATTATAAATGCCCTTAATTGATACAGTTTTTAATATTTCTCAATAAATAAAAGAATAAAATAAAATTGGGGAATCCTGTAGAGATGGCTAATGTATGGTAGACTCTTGACTTACCAGTGCCTACAGGACTATCTATGAACAGTAAGGAATAGTCTTCATGCCAGGATATCTTCCTTTTCTGCAATTTTTCACCGACAACTTCATAAGGTCCTATCTCGGTGAACATCCCGAACAGCGAGCTGGCACCAGGGCCTCCTTGTAGCCAAAGGATTAGAGGTGAATTTTCCGCACCTTTCTGTGGGAAGATAAAATATCAATGATTATATGGAAAAAAAAACTTAAATAATTAAATATAGACCGAAGGTTTTTTAAATAGGGTTTAAATTTTCATCTCCCCACAAAATTCAAATAACTAATTTAATAAAAGCCAAGCTTGATCTAGACATTTTGGGATTGTTGTTATTCAACTAGTTATTAACATAAAAGAATAAATCGCCTAGGGATGGGATCCAAAAAAAAAATTATTCAAGACGAGGTCATTGAATTAGGTAAATTTAAGAACTCCCGATCTAGACCTTAGACTTCCGGTCAGTTAAGCATATTTTAATGATGGAGTATATTTCTATGTCTAAGTATCATAAAATTCATTCAAATATAATGAAAAATGCATACCGCAAGATGGGGTAACTTTGGGACTGAGAAGGTAACTTTGGGACAGCGGGTAAAATTTAGTTTGTGGTGGATACACTGTGTTGGTTCAGGTTGCAAAAAGCTGCTTTGTGTAGACATGTACAGCGGTACTACCTTGCGGTAGTTTAAGAACCACTCATTGTGCAGTTAGGTTTTATTTATTTCCATTGCTTCGTTCAAAATTCTAGTTTTCATAAAACTTTCCCTTGTGCCTCAAGAGTAGTATGCCACCACAGAATCACCACAAACTAAATTTTACATGCTGTCCCAAAGTTAGCCCATTTGTATAATTTTATTGGGTTTTTTAATGTTGTTATTATTGGTTTGATATTAATACTCCGAGTTTTCCTGCATGTCAGTGGTAGATTTCTTGACTTTCTCGGCTTCCCGGAGGCAATTGGATAATTTGTATTCGCGTGGAGAGCTTGAGACCTTCAAGACAAAGACTTACAAGTAGCTGTACACGACGTATTCATTATCTTCGAAGGTTAGAGATAGATGGAGTGGGATTTAAACGTATATGGTATTTAAATAATGCACTTTTTTCCATAATTTTTTTTTATGTCAGATTAAAGAATATTGAAAATATATTTAACCTTCTGTGTGCACCCCAAGATCAATCATTTATTAACTGAATAATAACTGAAATTTAGGTGGAAGAACCATAAGAGCATACTGTTCATTCGAACAGACAGTATTAAGAATTAAAACGATAAATAGTAGTGAAAACATTCAAATAGTTTAAAGCGTTTAAATGTTTTAAACTAATTAAAATGAACTTAAATAATTTAGGGTAAACTATATCTTTATTTTAATCTTCTTGCTGTGCTATAAGTATATTATATAATGTCCTTTTCCTCAATCTGATCTTGATGAGGTGACGTTCAATTGTCCATGTGAAGAACAGTTTTCGCTTAAGTAGACTCTAATATGCTTGAAAGTTCATCTCTGTCTTTATTTATGGTGACTTTTAACGATATCTTTTTGAAGGAAAGCCGTATTTGGATGAATTGCCTGTGTTTAGGTAACTAATTTCTTATCATAGTTAAATAAAAAAATATATTTTTGAAATTACTTTTTTGTACTTAAAACCTTTTATGTATAATTTTCAGAATAACTGTTTGTAGTGAAGTTTTATTTAAAAAGTTATTTGGATAAAAGTTTTAAAATAATTTCATAAAAAAGTTATTATAATGAAAAAGTTTTAAGTTCAATAAAAATTTCATGTAAGACAAATAAAAAATGGTATAAGTTTAACTTATACTTAATTACTTATACTTATACTTAAAAGTATGAAATATAAGATTTGTGTTTTTTCAAACAAGTCACGTTTTTAATTGAATAGGAAGCAATGCCCAAAAAAATATGGGAATTAAGAAATTAAACATTACTCCATAATAAGCTAGACAAAATTTGATTTAAACTGTAGAGTTTGTCATTATTAAAACCATTTGAAGAGGATTATTAAACCGACAAACTCAGCTAAGTTCCGTTTCAAAAAAAGTCTAAAATTTTAGAAACACTTCCTTGTATAGTAAGCTTTATGTCAATATTAATTAAGTTCAGGTTTATTAGGAAACATTTTGAGATTCACCTCTTGTGTAAAGAAATAATGTGATTTGTCATCTAAAATTACCCGTGTTTTCAGCAAAAAAAACTACAATTAACTGTTGCAAAGCTTTTATTTTTTTGTTTTTCCGCGATATGGAGTTCATTGTAAACATAACTGCCTAAACACTCATTTTATTTATAAAAACAAAAAAATTTAAAGTAATGATTTTTAAAATATTTTTCGTGTAAGGTGGTTATGAAATTGTGTTTTTTCCCCAGGATTTCTGCCATAGGAATTTATGCGTATTTATTAGTTACAAACTTAATGTTTCTAGCCACAATATTCACTACTTCTTGAAAATAATTGAAGCAATCATTAGGTTTTTTTTTAAACATAAATTTCAGTAAAAAACATTAAGCTTGTCACTGATAAAACACAGTTTCGTAACTACATTATGTGAAAAATCATTATTTTTAAATTTTTTATTTTTATAAACTAAATGTGTTTTTAGGTAATTATATTTATCACAATACACAGCATGTCACGGAAAAACAAGAAAGGGAAGTATAACAATAGTTAATTGTAGTAATGTTTTAAGAAAGCACGGATAATCCTAATAGGTGACGGGATAAAAATCACATAATTTTGTTATACAACTCGAGAAGAATCTGAAATTTTTTCTAAGTAAACCTCATTTGATTAGACTTAAAGATTAATTTACGAGGAAGTTTTTCTAAAAGTGGAGTAACTGTAGTATAGTTGGCTAATAATTGAAGATTTTTTTAAAAACACAACTTAGCTTAGTTAAGCCGCTAAATAGTTCTCTTAAACTAGTTTAAAAAAAGACAAGCTCTACTTTCGTTTAAAGTAAATATTGCCTAGTTTACTATGGGTAATGTTTAATTACTGAAATCAAATAATTTTTAAGTTATAGCTTTCAATTCCTCAAAAACCATAAATCGCTTAAAAAAACACAAATCATAAATTTCCTACTTTTCTGTTGAAAATTGGGACTTTTTTTTTTTTTTAAAGATTTTGATGTCTAGTATCAACTTTTCAAATATTTTCCTCTACTTACGAGACAGGCTGTATAATAATGGCGTGCTTGTAGAGTGTAATAGTGAATAACTAATTTAGTTGTGCCATTCTAATGCTCTCCGTAGCCTAGACTCGAACGGCCTACCTTAACCTAATTCACTATTCTAGGAAGGCAAGTTATAATGAACCACTTTTCAATTCCATTCATTAATAAGTAGGTTATTAATTAAACTAGTATACTCCATTGAGAAACCTCACATTAGATAGTTATCCTTCTCTCAAATGCATTTGACATTTAAGCGACATCAGCGAAACATGTTTATACTTGTACAATATACTAATTATAATACTTGTCATATTATAATAAATTAAAATAGTCTATTCAACAAAAAAAATTTAAAGTAATAATTTAATTAATAAGTGATTAGCTCGACCCATTGTAAAATATCCCTCCAGTTTAATAGTTAGGCAATAACCACGGGCGGATCTACGGGGGGGGGAGGGGCTTTCGGGCTGAAGCCTCCCCCAAAATGGTAAAATATAACCATGTTTTATAGAAAAATATATTAAAAAATTATCTCTTAAAGTATTATTGTTGGTGTAATTACAATTAAAAGGACTTAAGGAATCACTTAAACACAGTTTCATATAGATAATTAGGTTCTTCCTTTTCCAAAGTAATTTAATTATCATCATTTTTACTGAAAAAAAAAGCATTTGGGCTGAATCCCCCCAAAAAATTAAATTCTGAATTCGCTAGTGGCAATAACACACAACTATCCCTGAACTATACTATTCTATTATAGTCCACGGTATAGACCCCTTTTTATAAAATCATTAACAAATGTTTAAAACTTTATGAATGGCTTCATCTTCTCAAATTGCGCATTTTCAATGTGGAGATGGGTAACCTTTGTCTACATAATGAGGTATTAAATACTAATAATAATAATAAAAAGGCTTAGCGAACCCGAAGGTTCGATGCCGACACCACCAATCGCTTATTGCACACCTCCCTGCATCGTTCGCCGTCCAAACCCAGTTCCTTCAGATCCCTTCGGTCTACCCCTCGGACGCTTACCATTCGGCACAGCAAATATTAGCCTTTTAGGAATTCTCTCGTTACCAAGTCCAACAACTTTACAAGCCCATTTGATTCGCCGCGATGAAATAACCTCAATTATATTACCCGGATACAGTTCACGCAATTCCACACGCTTAACAGTACCAGATCATCCGCATAGCCCAGCACGGATGTTGTCCCACCCAGATCCAACCATTTCTCGGTACGCATTACCTGCCTTATGGCATGTTCTAATGCCAAATTGAACAGGACAGGCGAAAGGGAATCCCCCTGTTTTAAACCCGAACGAACCTCAAATTTTTCGGACAGATTATTACCGATTCTAACTTTTAACCACTATTAAACACTAATAACACATATTTGCTTTTCGCAAGATAATACTATCACAAAATCTAGAAAAAGGGTGGTTTACAAAAATATTGGTTCTTTTGGCGTGACCTTCGTCCCAACATGTCATAATAACGAGGTTTGTTTGTTGATTTTTAAGTCGTAAAACATCAGGGTCATCAATTCCTGCAAATTAATTTTGTTTATCTCTGGATTAACTGTTTAAGAGATTTAATTTTTTTTAAAACAAATCGTATGATGTCAAGAGACTTAACACTAACTTTATTGTGTCTTCGTCATCCTTAAAAATGTTTGCTATTGGAGGTGCAAGTCCTGAACTAATTAGACCCGGAACGTAAAGAGGACACTCCTGTAAAATCTGGTTGACTGGGCTGTACGTGTATCATTGTGGTGGTGGCTGTTTGCTAACAAGATGTAAATGGGTAAAGTTGGTGTGGCCTATCCTCAGTCTGGTTAAGACAACCTCTTGACCATGACTTAATTGTTCTTTTTAATATTTTATAATTTGCTTGGCGGACTTTTCTTCAACATAGATAGCCAACTATGAGTTATTTCTTTTGTGAGAGGAAGACTTACAGCTTGCGGCGTTAGAATGGCAGAACCCCGACCTGGAAGGGTAATAGTCTGTAGGCGAGACCCCTCTTACCTTGCACCCCCTCCTACATCCCTGTAAATTGCATATCGTTGTGTTCTTTTTTAATTATTTATTTAAAAAAATGCCAATGTTCCCACAAAAAAAAAAAGTGAACGCACTGAACTAAAATTGCGTACAAACATGGCGGACTGACGACTTGGGCTTTAGTTAGTTTTTTGGTCACTGAGAATCAGCATTTGTCTTAATTTCGTCATAGTTGGTATTTTATTAAAGCTGGATAGTCAGAAAATAAAAATACATAATAACAGTAAAGCTTATGTATTGCTTAGGCAATAAATAATAACGTTAAAGTCAATTATTTAAAAACAAAATTTCAAGTTGAAAATCCAGCGTCGTTTGTAATTAAACGGCCAACAATAATACAAAGCGTGCGAAACTGAAACATCTGGAGAATATAGTTGTTTTTTAAAAAATATTTGAAGCATTTCCGTAGAAAATGCAGTTAAGTGAAGGAAGAAGGTCTTTATTGTAAAAATGATATAATTATAATATTTGCAATTTAACGCTTTGTTTTAAATATTTACTGATCGTTAGAGGTAATTTAAATTGTATATACTTCCCTGTAAATGAGTCATATTAATACCAGTTTTATAAACTATAAACTGTTTTTTTATTACTTAAGCCAATTATTTTTTAATATTTTTTCATAAATATCCGCTATGTTTCGGATAAATAGTTAATAAATAAAATAAATAGTTACAATGAACACAAAAATATGCAATTTATAGAAATGTTAGGGGAAGGGAGAGAAGGTGCACGGTAGGGAGGTCTGGCCCACCGTGCAAAAGTGCTTTTTCGGCTCATTTCAAAAGATTTCAACTTGACTCGGCAACCACATAAAGTATTCCTATTTTCCTAGAGTTCCTATCATATTTCATGAGTTTCTTTAATATTCATAAATTTTTGAGATGATTGGATGTTTCGGGTATAAATTATTCATTGCTTTTAGAGCACTTAGAGAATCAGTTATTGTAATGTTTTGGGGGTTATTGTCAATGAAAATTGGAATGCTGAGGCAATTGCATGAAGTTCGGCTGTTTATATACTGCACATGTGGGTCGAATTATGGGTAACAAAGGAAGACGCTATGGATTCATCCGATTCAGATACATCAGTTTAGATTAAATATGGTTCTGATATTTTTTAAAGCATATGTGAGAATTTGGTTTTGTACTCAGTCTTAGTTTTTTGTAACCGATTTAGGTTTAGGATTATTTTAGGCGATTTGTTAAGCCAAGGAGGTTTATGTATTTCTTGTTTGACTAGGGTATTTCTTTGAGGAACAGTAGCTGAACTAATTTTTTTCTGATAACGGAAAATAACGAAGTTATATAGACCAAATGGTCAATATTTTTGTAGTTTTATCGAGTTTGTAATCAAACTATCTTACGATTCAAGTGGAAAGCACATAGATATTTATGAGTTTTAGTATCTCATTAAATTTAATTTCAATACTAATTTATTGAATTTGAAAATTTCCCATTTCTAAGAATTTTCGCAGTAATTATTATTATGTTAATTATTTGATAAAAAGGGTGTACCACGTAAGATAGCCTGTACCATGTAGGTAGACTAATTGTTTTATGGAAAATCATTTGTCTTTTTTTTTACTTACTAAGCCCACTAAACAATTTGTTTTCTTCATTCAGTGTTACATTAGGTAAACCTGATTAGGTAAACGTGCATTTCCTTGGTGTATGTCCTGTTCTGTCGGAACTTAGGAGAAAATATTTTGGGAAATATAACCTGAAATTTGGGGAAATAATTGGGTAAGACCATCCAATTATTGTAAAGTAGCCTGGCAATACAGGTATGTCTTATGCCAAAAATTTAATTATTAGATGAATAATGTTTAAGCCGGAAAAATTATTTATGTAATTATATTAAAATATCTATAATAAAAATGTGTATATATTTATAATATTAAGATTTGATACATTGTATTTATGTATTTATTAGCATTAACATTGTATTTATTAACATTAAGATTGTAGGTTTTAGTTTATATTATTGTATCAACAATACTTGTTTTGCCAAGGCCAGCCTCCGGCTGACGGTTTCAAGAACCAAGCCGTAAATATTTTTATTGAGCTTGGATACTTTTTTTGTTTGTTATTGTATAAATAATCTAAAAAAAAAAAAAAAATTCATTCATTCATTCAACTTAACTTAAAACTCATATTGTACATAGCTTATGTTTATTCATACCTTTGACGGAAAATACCAAAAGTAAAGACTAGAATTATATTTCGGTTCGACCGTGACGAATCCTGAGTAACCTTCCACTTCGCCGAGAGGTCCGGTCACCTTGGCCGCCGAGCGAGCTACCCCTGGCTCCAGATCGGACAGGATGAGCGGGGGACCGGAGTCCCTGATGTCCACAGGGGTCGGTGTCCAAGAGGGGTAGATGTTCTGGAAAGGGTCAGGAATCGGGCCCTTCATCTTCTTCAGCACATCCTTTACGTCGTTGAATTCCTCGCCAAGCCCTTCTGTAACATGATGCCATAGGTTGTAAAGTAAAACATACATTATTTACATACATACAACAAATAATAAGTTTAACTAATAAAAAAATACGTGTCCTACGAGCAAGGTTTTTAGAGGTATAGTACGTTTGGATCTTCCTTTATTTATTATGATTTTATTTATTTATTTTTGTGGAAAGCTGTAAAAAAGCTGATACTGCTATAATTTTCTACCTTGTTTAGCTACGTTTCTGTCAATGCATTAATACATACTTGTTTTAATTATCCGTCATTTTGTTGGATTCCAAAAACTACTATTTACTATAAATTTTAATCAGCTAATATAAAATATGATTTTTTCTTAGTTATAAAACTGAAGCTTATATAAGAAAGAACGGATTTATATGTGTTTGTATCTTTTTTTCTTCCTAGTTTCATATTCAACCAAACCGAACCAGAAATTCGAATATTGAAAATGATGTTCTATTGACGGTAATTTTATATTGCAAAATCACAATTTAAATAGTTATGATTATTTATGAGAAAAAAAAATCGACTATATAGATAGATAGGTAGAATATAATTTTATTATAGGACAAAGCCCCTTAAGAACAACAAAATTTAAAAAAAAGAATATATTAATCCTGGTCTAAAAGTTTGACACAATAAATAAAATAAAAACGATCAGAAAAAAATAAAACTTTGTACAAAACACTTGAAACTAGGAATAAAGCACTTAAAAATATACCAAATATTAAAACAGTATAAATATTCACTTATAATAGAAAATTAAAAAATTTGAATTTATTCTTATAATAAATAAGCTCTAAATTTCTACTGAGAAAATCGAAAGCTGGATCTGTCGTTTTAAAATGCTTAAGTAGGTAAACACTCGATAATATGTTAATACATCATAAGTGGAGTATCATTATTAATTAACCTGAATACATGTAAGAATTTAATTGTGTATTAAAAGATATAATAATAAAACTATAGAATTGAGTGGCATCGAGAGTAGGGAATTCTCGTTATAAAACAACAAGAATTTCTACTTATATGGCAATTATTTTTATATTGTAATAACGATTTGCTAGTCTCGATGTTAGGGATATTATTCTTAACAAAAAGCAGCACAATAATTTTATGATAAAAGACAAAAAAAAAAAAATATCTACCTATAACGGGAAAAACATATAGTATTGAATGTAGCAGACTTCGTAGGCCATATGACAACGGATGGCCACGTGATGAATGATGGGGGACGACAAATGGCCAAAATTTGGTTTTCCTACAAGCCAGAATATAGAAAGAAGAGGAGACGGCCAAGGAAGGTCTGAATGGAAAATGTAAAAGAGGTGATGGCTGTATAGAAAAGAGTATGGGGAGAGAATACAATAGGTGATGGTACAAAAAGGAAAAAATAGAAAGCATATATTTTTTTTTCAAGAGATACATGATTGTCTTGGAAGAGGAATACCTCTCTTCCTACAATCAATTCATTTTTTGATGTATTCTTAATGACATTGGATTTGGTATTTATTACATCATTTTAGAATTTCGTGAAAGCCTAAAAGATTAGATTTGGGGAGTGTAAAAACCTTAATTACTGCAAAATAAAAGTAGAATAATTTTTATAAATGCATTTTTATTGGCCAATAAAAAAGGTGGTTTATTAGTAACTGCATACACAGAGACATGATAACATTCTTGTTGACTTTTGTGAAAATTAAATGAATGTTTACTTTTAACAGAGATAACAATTGTATTTTGAATCAAATCATTAATTACACCTGTGAGGTCTGCTTCTAACGTTGTTAGTATAAAATAGTAATATAACTGTAACAAATCTAAAAATCTTTTAACTTCCTCAATTCTTCATCAAATACAATGATCGAGCCCTCATTTTGGAGATATTCTGCTCCTGCTGCTGAAGAATAATTACCTCTCTCCGAAATTTAGGGGGAAAAGTCATGAAGGAAAAAAGACTTTATTTCCGAATAACTCAAAAAGTATACAATATATTCTTAATTTTTTTTATTGTACCCTTGAATAATTGAAATATACTAAATTCTCTACAAAATCAAAAAATATATTATTGTGAAACAAACAGATATAATATTTAAAATTTATTTATTTAGTTTCTTTATGAATTATACATATGGATTTTTTTTTTTTTTTTTTTTTATATATTATATAAACTTGAATGGCAGTGTCCCTAGAAGACTATTATAGCAAGCCCTCCAAAATGCAAACATTAATCAAGATCTGATGGATATAATAAAGGAAATGTAGAAAGCAAACACCTGCCAGGTCAAAATTGGACCATACCTTTCTGAGCCTTTACCAACAAGCAAAGGATTGCTCCAGGGGTGTTGTGTCTCTCCTTCTCTGTTCAAGATTTATCTTGATATTTGTTTAAAAGCATGGATGATAAAATGTGAACCCATTCAGGGGGAGGGGATTCAGTTGAAAGAAAAGGTGTTCCTTTGTAAACTATCCTTCGAGGATGACCATGTCATCATTGCACAGGACGCAGAAGATATGTTAAGAAAATTAAATGAGGAATATCAGCTGTAGGGACTAGTTATTAATGCAGAGAAAATGGAATACACGACATTCAATAATGAGGATATAGAACTGAATCCAGGAGGGGTTCTAAAAAGAATTAATCATTTTAAATATCTTAGTTTCATAATTGAAATAGATGATGCATGTGATGTGGAAGTAAGAAAAAAAATTCAGATGGCAAAAATACCATATCAATGCTCAACTCGGTGTTATGGAACCGGAACATTATCCCCAAAACAAAAAAATCTATAAAAGTATAGTACTGAGCATTATGACATATGGGTCAGAAACTTGGACCATAAAAAGCAACCTCAGAAGGAGAAACTTCTACCCACAAAATGGCCTACTGGAGAAGAGCGGCAGGAATATCCAGAATGGAAAAAGTAAGAAATACGAGCATCAGAGAAAAGATGGAGGCTAAAAGAACAATTCTGGAAGAGATTGAAATAAAACGCCTGAAGTGGTATGGACATTTGAAAAGAATTCCTGAAGGAAGACTACCCAAAGAAGTCCACTTATGAAAAACTACGGAAAAAAGAAGACGAGGAAGACCAAGGTCTACGGGAAGAATGGACCTTAGATAGGGCATTATGGAAAGAAGCCATCCAAGTACTTTAGGTTAAGGAAACTCCTATTAAAAGAAAAGAAAGAAAAAAAGATACACTTGAAAATATCTTTAAAAAAATTCAATTCAATATATAAAGTATTTATGAGAAGGAATTAGTCGAGGGTGCGGTCAAAAAAATAAAAAAAAATTAAAATATATAAATAATTTTAATTTTTGCCGACGTTTCGACCCACTTTGCAGGTCGTCTTCAGGGCGTTGGATGTGGCACTGCGGGAGGCGGTTGAAACACTGGCAGTCACCAGTAGTGTTTCAACCGCACTGCCAGTGTTTCAACCGCCTCCCGCAGTGCCACATCCAACGCCCTGAAGACGACCTGCAAAGTGGGTCGAAACGTCGGCAAAAATTAAAATTATTTATATATTTTAATTTTTTTTATTTTTTTGACCGCACCCTCGACTAATTCCTTCTCATATCATATCAACGGTCAACCAACTCTACATCATTATAAAGTATTTATATACTTTAGTAGTTTAGATTAAACACAGAGGGGTAGAGAAACAGCCGCCATAACATTGGTACATTTCTAAACTTTTTTCAGCTAAAAATAATTGATGAAAAAAATATTTTTGATTTCTTAGTGTGTAGAATCTCAATAAAAATGCTTTTTTCACAATCCGACTAGTTCGCTGTAGAAAATGTGAATAATATCACGTGAAAATTGAGGTGTGATAGAAGCATGAAATTCTAGGATATCTTGATATACAATGTGTCCCGTAAGTAGAGGGCAATATTTAAACAATAACTTTAAAATGAGTTCATATAAAAAATGGTCCGATTTTCGGCAGAATAGTAGAAAATTTATGTTTTGTGTTTTTCTTTTAAGTACGTCATGATTTTTGATCAATATGAAGTGATAAATAACACATTTTTTTTTTCAATGACTTGGAAGCTATTATAACAAACTTAAAATAAAATATGTTTCGCATTTATAAGTGACCAATTAAATATTTCCAATCATAATATTTATGATTTCATGAAAATAATTCAAGAAATCATCAAGCTCCTTTAATTTACACGTAGATATTAGGACTGCACACGTTTAATTAGTCACTTATAAATGTATTTCTATATATCTAGTTGGATAGTGATAAATAAAAATCGTGAATAATTCATAATTTAATTAATAATTTAAAGTACTCTTTGAATGGTTTTGACAATAACAAACTATTTACGTTTGAAGCAAATTTTATCTGGTTTAGAGTGAAGCAATTGCTAATTAATTATGGTTTAGCTGTCGCTTCCTATTCATCGAAAACCACGACTTACTTTAAAAAATATGGAAATGAAATTGCCTCCTATTCTGCCGAATATCGGACTATTGTTTATATAAATTTTATAATAGCTCTATAATTATCTGTTTAAATATTTCCATCTACTTATGGGAAATCCTATATATTTTTACCTTTGAATATAAATTACAATTTAAATAAAATTAATATTTAGGTATCACTAAAATCGTTACATACCTACTACTAGGCCCTAGCCTTGGTACCTAGTTGACTTTTCTTAATCGATTTTAGTTAACTCATTTTATTCATTCATTTAGCTTATTTATTATTGACTATTGGGGAGAGGGGAGGAGGGGCGCAACGATATTCTCGCCCCCTCGACAATTTTATTGGGGGTGGGAGGGGGGAAGAAGACAATCCCTCTAATGTCTGCGCCTATGGCTATGCGAATTAAACAAACGGGCCAACTAGTACAATATTTCTCATATTTATGTTCAGTTTTTAGGCCAGAAGATCAGTTTTGAGATTACCATCATAATACTATTTTTAAGAAACATTTTTTAGAAAAAATGATTCTTCTTAATTTATAAAAAAAATCGACTTGTCTCGATGGTGATATTTCTAAATCAACACAGCGGATTGATATATTAAGTTTCTCTCTGTTTCTGAGATAAATTGAAATAATGTGAAATTTTGATATAAAAAATCGAGAAAACACATACAACTGCAGTCCTCCTACCAATTCCGGACTCAGAACTTTAAAAAATAGAAAGAAAAGTGTGAATCATATTAATTTTTTAAACTCTGATATTCAGAAAAAGAAAGAAAAAATTATATGAGTTTCATTAAATTTGTTTTATTTTTTATGAAGTTTTTTTTTATTGTTATTATTTTATTCCTTGTAAATTAGAAAGATTAGCAATGCATATATATTAAAGTTGCATATAATAATTTGAAAAATTGTACTCAGTTAATGTCTTTTTCTTTTAGTGCAGATTAATTTAAATTTTTTTATTATTTTTATAAAATAAAAATCTCAAAATAAAATTAAAAATATCATATGTAATGTTTTTTTCAGGGAATGGAGTGATATGTTGATAATCGTCTAACTTGTCATTTATGCGGCTGACCAATTATTATTAATTGAATAGCAATAAATATAATTAATAACTCAATAAATATATTTCATATTTGTCATTAATTATGCTTTATTTATTTAAAATATCATGTTACTATAGCTCGCTCTCCGTAATGATATTTAAGGAAGGGGACTGAGGAAATCCACTTATTTATCGAAACATATGTATGGAAAACTGTGCATCTAAAATGTTTACCCAAAACCTGTTGGAACGAATAACATTATGGATCGAAAGAAGCAGAATTATACCTAAATGCCAATCAGGATTCAGAAATAGGAGAAGTTGCTTAAATAATGTTTTTTTCTTAAATGCCGTTATCCAAACCAATTTCTAAAAGAGAAGTCTAGCCTTTTGGTTCTTTTTGTTGACTTTCATCGGGCTTTTGACACCATAAATCACACCTTACTATGTCACAAATCTTTTTCTATAGGTATATGATCAAGATTTCTGGTAATAATAATATTGTGAAAATTATTTCAAAGCAAATTGTGCAACACTAAAGAAAACGAAACACTTCATCATAAATTATTTAAATGCCCAATTTACAGTAGTTTAACGTTAAGAATTTATCTGGGTATGAAAAATCTTGATAGGATACAAATAATTAAGCCAATCAATGCAGAACGTATGAGAAAATTATATTGTTTTATCTCAATTATATCAAATTATAGAGAAATGGTAGGGTAATCTGGCATATTATCCTCTGCATATTATGGCGAAAATTCCATATTGCAAATCGGCATGTAATCTGTCCGCGTATTTTTCTTGTTTGTTCTGTTAAGTATAGGGGTAATCTTTTAATTTAATGTAGGTTATATATAATATAATTCAACGTGTATTACTGTTGAAAACTTGGATTCGGAAATGTTCGCTATACTTTCCATTACTATATATTACGTATATAAGTAAGTGAAAGTAAAAATTAAATGTTTACATTTAGGGCCAGTTGGTCCAACTCCGTAAAGCTTAGATTAAACGTTATCTAAGATAAAATCAAGTTTAATCTTAATCGGTCTAGCTTAGAAAACTTGGTTTAATCTTTGATAGCACGTACTATAAGCTTTACTGAGTTGGAGCAACTGGCCTTTTCTTGTGCTGAGATATTCGTCATGGCAACGACTTCACTTTTTATTATGATATTTTTGCCTGGCGTTAATTAAAACATTCGTAACTCCTGAGGATTTTATCCTAATTCAATGTTTCTACAACCGTTGGAAAGCTGAATTATCGCTCTTCAAGATGGTATAAATAACTTTTTGATTTAATACGTCTATAAAGTGTAAATATATAAAAACTCCTTACAGGTTTTTATTTTATGACTTCAGTTCTAAATTATTTAGAGGTGTACAGTTTGTGCCATTTCGTGTAGTTTGTAAGGCCTCCCTTATATTCCTGCAAAAGAAGGGTTTCTTCTGAGACTTATGGCATTTGTTACTCGTATATCAGATGAAGTTTCTTATATGGTGGGTACAAATATGGTTTTGAAGAAAAATGAATCCTCATGGAAAAAGACTGCCATGTTTACCATATACCCAAATTGCTACTGAAATAATAGTTGATTACTTTATATGGTTAAATTTTATTTACGTAATGATAATATTTACCATAATCTTCAGCCAGAAGAGCTCCAGTGCCCCCTATTACGAATGCGACCAAGAACAATAGCATCTCGAATGAGAATAAGGCACAACAAATGGACCTCCGAACCGGTCTGGAGTCGTTGACCTGCGCAGATAGATAGCCGATGGAAGAATATTCGCCGATGGATAGCCTCTTGGACAACCTATTCTTGCCAGGTAAACCCGGACGTCTGAAGCACCGCGGGGTCTTCGAACTTCTTATATAGTTGTTGGGTCCTCAGGAACTGGATTTATTTATTTTTAATCAAGAAAGCTCCGTTTTGCCAAGGTTAACGCTCTCATCACTAGAATGGACCGCTAGAATATTGGCTTCTTCTCTGCCGAAGATAGGGAAATTGTCCTTCTTGGAAGAAGCAAAAAACAAATTATTCTCTTTAGATTAAAAAATTTACTATCGGGGTTTACATTTTTGCCTTCAATAAAAAAATAGTCCTGTTTCTGTTTGTCGTCAAAGTTATGTTACGCGAATATCGTCAAATTTTCAAGAATTTGGAGGGTTGGTACATATATTTGATAAAATGTTTTTTAATAAAATTCGATAACTTATTTACCATCGGTAAAGCATGCGCAGACGTTTCTCTTTTAAAAATTTATCTGGAGCTTAGGACAACATAATGTATGTATTATATATAATACCTAATTATATATTATAATATAGGTGGATCAATCAGGTAACTGCAAATATACAATTTTATAGCAGAGGCACTATACTTAGACTTATTATTATATAAATAAAATAATTTTTAAAACTGATGGTACCGATATTTTTTTCTATCCATTTTAAGTTTGCTTGTATAGTATTATTACTTCGCTTCGATTAAACTTATTTTGACAATTATAACGGGATAAAACATTTCTAAGCAATAATAAGTACATGCAACGTATTATGAAAGGCAAGAATTAATTTTCTTTTCCTTATTGTTAATCAAATTACAATCATTCGTTTAAAATAATAAACCAAAAAATTAGTAGAAATTACTATTGGCCGTATCTTTGCTAAAAATCGTTCGCTTTCGATGGTTTTTTTGTTTTTGTTTAGAAAATTCAGGTATCTTAAAAGGTATCATGACTGTGCTCAAGTGGGAAATTTGTTTATTTTTAGTGTCTAAAGCAGAAGATGATCTTTACAATGATGGCGCAATCAGTGGATTTCATGAAGAATGAACCATTCCTATACACAAAAAAAAAAATTAAATAAATTGAACTTTGAGAAGTAATATATCGACAGCCACACTGCAAAAACCTGTCGCCACAATTTAATTAGAAAATGCGGTTTTGAGTCTTTATGGTCAATATTGCTCTGCTCATAATCACAACAAAAAAAATGTTTGGACTGACACAATATTCTTTCTTCTGACAGAAAAATTCTTGAATACAAAAAAAAAAAAAAAAAAATTAAAACGTAGCATCTTAAGCGTGCAGTAAAATTGAACGGAAAATTAAATTCATAAGAAAAACGTCGTTTATTTCTTCTTACACATAATTTCAGTTTTTGTAATTAGAGATTTTCTTTTCTCATATATCAGTCATAAATAGTGAGAAAATTAAATACAGTACAAATTACCATACATATGATTGTATCGTTAGTGAAAACAGATATTTTCAGAATTTTCTTTATTAATTATCTTAATGTTTAAGTTTAATTCAACAATAAGATATATTTAAGTTTGTTGATATGAATAGTTTCTAAGCCGGCCAATAAAATAGAATCTTTCTGCTTTAAAAAGGGCCAAATCCGATATTGCATTTATATATTTCGACAAGATAAAATTTTGAATCATCGCGATACCTAAATTTTACAGAAATATTTCTCTGGATACATTTTTTTTTTTTACTATTATTATTTTTATTTGTTTATTTTAATCTATTTTTAAAGTCCGTTTTTAACATAAACGTTGGTTTTTCAATATTATACACAGTATATTTTGTAGTAACATAACAGTAATATTGAGGCCTTTACTAAATTATAACCAAGGAAAATTGTGTGGCCTGTAAACTAATAATTAATTAAAAATTCTCCAGCAGATAAACTAGTAAGATGATCACGGAGAACTAATCTTGATTGCCTTTTGAAAAAATTCTAATGAACTTTTTTAATCTCCATAATTTAACGAAATTTTTCATTGGTATGCAGAATTTTTTTTTTTGTTGGCCTTGGATTACCTAATGGTCTTCTTCATATGTTAAGTTCATGTGTTAAGTTGGTAATACATATACAGTTTTCTTCTTCTTCTTTTTTTAATTGGAGGAGGAACTTAATTTAAAATTCATTCATTTGTTTATTTAGAAATATTACATTCTGTCACATCAAGGACATTTATAATAGTGATCAGAGAAAGCACACTCACACTCTATTTACAATAAAAAAAAAAAAATAAATAAATAATACAGAAACTTAATAATAATAAATACAATAAAATAAAATAAAAATAAATACAATAAAATATAATAAATGTATATAAACAAAAGAACTAACCTAATCATACACACTCGGGCTTGAGTGGAGGATCTGGCCATTGCCAAAACTCCAATAGATGCTTATTTACAAAAGGTCTCTGGGCCACTGCCGCTTCAACCTTCGAGGAGGATTGTAAGGATGGGTGGTGCTGGATAGAGATTGTGCAAGGGGATTTGGATGATAGGTAAGGTTTTGGTGAAATTTGGAGAATTTTTCTGGAATAAGGTCTAGGACAAATGGGATATTAAGGTCATGGTGTAGGATTTTGTTATTTACATAGAACGGAGCATCAACTATTGTTCGAAGGACTTTAGATTGAAAGGATTGAATACGTTTGATGTTAGAAGCTTTTGCTGTCCCCCACAGTTCAAGTCCGTATGTCCATATAGGTTTCAGTATTGTCTTGTAGATAAGTAATTTGTTTTCAATAGAAAGTTTGGATTTTCTGTTTAGTAGTCTGTATAGCTGGCCGTATCGTCGGTTGAGTTCTTGTCTTTTGAGTCTAGTATGTGGGTTCCACGTTAGTCTTCGGTCTAAATGAAAGCCAAGATACCGGACTGTGTCTGAGTAAGGAAGCTGGATGGAATTAAAGTGTACTGGTGGACAGGAACTGCGTCGGAGTGTAAAGGTAATATGTTGGCATTTAGATTCATTAACTTTAATGCGCCAGTTATTACACCAGTGCTCAATCAAGGTGAGGTGGTTTTGGAGATTTAAGGATGCTATGTTGGGATCAGAGTTGGATGATAAGATTGCGGTGTCGTCAGCGAATGTTGCAAGAAAAGTATCGGGATGAACAGGGATGTCAGCAGTAAAGAGGATGTAAAGCACGGGACCCAAGACGCTGCCTTGGGGAACACCGGCTTTAACGGAGTAGATATTGGAAAATTCTGTTCCACAGCGAACTCGGAAGGAGCGGTCAGAGAGGTAGGATCGGAGGACTAGGTACAAGGACTGAGGTAAATGGATTTTAAGCTTGAAGAGCAGTCCGGAGTGCCATACCCGGTCAAATGCCTGTGCAATGTCCAGAAATGCACCCGAACAGTATTCCTTGTTTTCTAGGGCTGAGGAAATATGATCAACAACTCGGAGTCCTTGTTGAACAGTGGAATGTTGGGAGCGAAAACCAAACTGATGGGAAGGAATATTTTGGGATTCTATAATGGGTAGGATTCGTTTCAAAAGGATCTTTTCAAAAATTTTTGAAAGGATTGGGAGTAGGCTAATTGGTCTATAGGATGTTGAGATATTGGGAGGTTTGCCTGGTTTTTGGAAAAGGATAATAGTGGAGTGTTTCCATAGCAGAGGAAAGTGGGTGGTGCGTAGGATACAGTTGTAGATATATGTAAGGAATATGACTGCTTTGGATGGAAGTTGTCGAAGGATTTGAGGGGTAAGGAGATCATGTCCAGGAGCTTTACGGGGGATTAATTTTTTTAATTGAAATTTCACTTCGGAAGGATGAATAGCTTTTGGGGGCAAGGAAAGTGGGATTGGTGATGTAAGGAATTCTTCTACTGTTACGGTGTGGGCAGGATGGGATTCCGGATGTGAAATAAATGTATTGGATAGGTGAATGGCGAACTCCTCAGCCTTATCTTCGTCAGATGCTGCCCAGGAGCCATCATCTCGTCGGAGGGGATGGGAAATGCGGTGAGGATTTAAGATTTTGGTAGTGGTTTTCCAAAGGGAATTGTCGCGAGAAGAAAGGGAGGATAGGTAGGAGTTGAAGGAATGTGATCTGAAGGTGGCTAATTCCAGTTTTAATTTTTTGCAGTAATAATTATAGGAGCAGCGGTCGGTAGGATGTCGGGTACGTTGCCACAATAATCTGGCACGGCGTTTGGTTTGGATTAGGTCAAGGAGGTGTTGGGGTAGAATGGTCTTTTTAGGAATTCTGGAGGAGTCTTTTGGGAAGGAAGCAGTCCAGGCGGCTTGTTGGATTGTGGTAGTAAAGGAATTTACGGCACTATCAAGGTCATCGGGAGTTTTGAGGGATATGTTAAGATCAATTTTATCGGAGATGATTTGGCGGAAAAGGTCCCAGTTAACTGGGCCCCTAATAAATGACGGTGGAGAAGGTTTGGGAACGGGTTCAAGTGAAACATTAAGGATTAGAGGACTATGGTCAGAGGAAAGTTCATTTAGACGTGTAATGGAACAATTGAGGGGACTTAAGCCGCTGTGGATAAAGAAATCAAGAAGATCAGGATTACGGTTGGGATCTGTAGGCCAGTAGGTAGGAGAGTTGGGGGAAAGGAGATGAAAATGTTGGGAATTGAGTGCAGACAGCAGGGTTCGGCCACGAGTATTCGTGGTTCTGGAACCCCATTGTTGATGTTTGGCATTTAGGTCTGCACCCAAGATGAAGTGATGTCCTAAGGAGTCGAGGAGAGAACGGAATTGGGCATTGGATATGGATCGGTTAGGAGGGCAATACGCTGATGCAAGGGTAACCGGAAAGGAAAAGGTTTTTATCACGATAGCGGTGGACTGTAGGAAATCATGTGTAGGTAACGGGAGTAGGTGATGGGAGAGGGATTGGTGTACAATGACAGCAGTACCGGCAT